TGGATAGTTGGTAGGACAAAACAAGAATTTGAAGTCAGCACTGAGAAATTGCGACAGGCAATTTTCACCATTTTGGACAATTGATAGATTAAACAATAAATCAATTGATAAAAAAGACTTTTTGTGATTTATTGTTGATGAATCACAGATGAATAAAATCATCAGTTGAAGCTCTATCTACATCTGTTTTTTTTCTGTCAGGTGATAAAGGCAATCCAAAAGACTGCAGATACAAACACCTTTGGACGTAAAGGCAACTGCTTTAGGATTAATGAAAACAAAAACTCTTACAATCATCTGATTCAGCTGTCACATACACTTTATTTAGGTACAACGAATCCAGAATAAAGCGCAGTGGCACTGGGGCTGATAATGTGCAATTAACAAAACTATTTACAGTTAATTCTGCACTGCAGCTCAGAGCCAGGCTGGAGTAGAATACAAGCTTACTTGTCTCAAGTACTACAGTAATATAATAATGTCACATTAACTGTATATGAAGGAGGATCAAACAGCTAATCTTAAATGTTTAATAAGGTACAGAGGAGCCTTGTATTTCTTTTCATTCTTTACACACACATACAAGACTAATAAAAAGTTTAAAAAGACAATCACATTTAACATAAGTATAAAATTTGGCTTAATTCACGATTATTAGCGTCTATAGCAGTTAGCCTAGAGGCTAGTGGACTTTTCCCATACTCATAGCTTAACAAATTACATGTTTTATTTACACTATATCTTACTCACTGCTGGTTAAGTCACTGCATCTCCTGACACAACACCAGGTTTGAATTTTCACCCTGAATGTACGTTTTGTTGAAACAGCAGCTGAGCGTAGCTGCTGGGCGCATGACGTAAACACATCACAAGTGTGAGCCCTCCCAGAAGCCATAGAGATTGCATTGCAGAGCCCACAAAAAACTGCCTTAATGTGAAAGTCTATAAAAGCAATCTGGGCGATTTTCAACCAGACTGAAATCGCCCGAAATGGGCGGGATTCCGCGGAACACGACTTGACGCTGATTGGACAACGATATTCAGAGGCAAACTGTCTGACAAAAACACTCACAGCTAGCTAACAGTGTGAGAAAAATCGCCTGCCTTTCCCGGTTTGGTGGTGCGTCACCCGATCGCCCCAATGAACAAACCGCCCCTGACCGCACCTCTAAACACACGATAAGCAATCTAGTATTCTGTCCAAGGCAGTGAGGAAACTAAAAAATCCCTACACCAATGCATGGCTCAACACAGAAAGGCCAACTCCTCAGGTAAAGACTTATTATTTTTCATATTTTGGATAGGGAGGACAGATGGTTTAAAAGAGGAGGGAAGTAAGCCAAAGTAGAGGGATCATCTCTGAACAGGAGAGGATGTCTGCGACACCACTTATCACCTACCCACAATGTTGTCCTTATCATCCCTTCCCAGGAGATTTAACAAACACTCACATTTGGCCTAATATGACAATTAACGACAGTCGTTCACACTTGGCCTCAGGTGACTCTAACAACCATAATGACTGTCGTTATAACAGCCAGGATCGCTACTGAACCAAATGGTATCCATCACCTTGATAACTAGTATTACGAGTATTAGGGCCACATTGAGTAGGAAAAAAAATTTGAGATTATGAGAATAAAGTCGTAATATTATGAGAATAAAGTAGTATTACGTGAATAAAGTAGTAGTATTACGAGAATAAAGTAGTAATATTAGGAGAATAAACCCCTTTTAATAGCACTTAGATGTAACTAACGATAGCCTTGTAGTCGATCACTACTAGCCATTTCCTCTTCCACAAAAGACGCAATTTCCTCCAAGTCCGTGTGATTCTTTCTTCAGAATAGAGATAGTTTCTTGCATAGTCTTTTCAAAGTCCTGATACTTATGACTTATGAATTTGGTGCTGATGTGCCAAAAGATTTAGTATCTCGTTATTTGTGAAACCTATATTGAAGTATAACTTCACAAGATTCTCCACGTTCCTGATTTTAATGCATGGAGGCAGCAGGCTGCTCTTCTGATATTTCCCCTAACATGTAGCTTAACAATACAACTTATTCTCATAATATTATGACTTTATTCTCGTAATGTTATGACTTTTCTCATAATATTACTACTTTATTTTCATAATATTACGACTTTATTCTCATAATCTCTGATTTTTTTTACTTCTCAATGTGGCCCTACTACTCCGTCGTAGATAACAACCTCACAGAGGATAAATAGCTGGGACTCCCTGCCAGTCAGTGAGAAATGAAGAACCCTCTTAGATGAGAGGTGGAACATCATCAAGTCTCTTCAACCAGTCTAGTTGCACGTGATTCAACCCTCCTTGGATAAATTACATGTAAAAGCACCGGACATTTGGACACGTCTCACTCTCTGACTTGACTCGGCTGTAGTCAGAGGGACCTATTGGAGTTCAGGGAAACCACTGCTGCTGAAGTGTCAGCTATGTCAGTCCTGCTTGTGACTGTCCCATGTGTTGCCTGTGGTCAGAGGGAGGGTTGGGGGCAGCTGGAGTGTCACCTGTCACTGGATCAAATGCTTATATATGACACAGCAGTGGTGACACCAAATGTCAAGTTAGAGAACCTCATGTAAATTATAGTAAAAGTCCAAAGACATCTGCACAAGTGAACCATATTTAACAAAATACAAACTAGCTCATTGCTGTTAATATGTCATTTTCACCTTATACGGGTCCAAAAGACCAGATGCTGCAAGAATTGCTTAAGAATATGTTAAAATAATACATGTAAAATTATACATTGTGGCAAAAGGAAAAGTCTCACATCATGACAACATACAGTACAATATGTCAAACGCAAGATGTGTGTATTAGCAAAGAGGAACAGGGGTCACAAGTAGACTGTCACCAACACTGACTGTAGGACTCATTACAGGATATTTGCAACAAACAGTACAAACTGTAGCCTTAGAAATGACCTGTGAGTTGAGTCATCAGATAGTTTCACCAAAGTGGTACCAACTATCGAATATTAATTATTAACAGTGTTATTTTATCCCCCTGCCTGTTACTTATGTTCTCCACCTCCTCAGAAAAAAATAAAAAACACTATCTTTTTAACTTAATCCACCCTCACCTGCTCCTGCTTTTCTTAGTTATAATCACACCATCTCTTTCATAACACATCCAGACTTGGAAACACATACAAGGAGATTCTTGCAACACACAAGCTCATAACCACCAGTGGCACATTCATACACATGCAATTGCACAACCTCTCACTTTTACATCTCTCACCCACATCCATACACAATAATCAGTGGCGATAAATAAGTCTTGTGTGTTTGCAACATGCCTGTCTAATTATGTTTTTCTTGTGTCTGGGTCGGTCTCCTGGGCCACCCCTTTTAGACACACAGCAGGAGGAATTCCTGATCCATTTTAAGCTCCAACGAGAATGTTGATAAGTCTGTAGATTACTGTCCAACATGTTTATGATAGCCTATTATTCTCTAAGCTTCATCCGGGCCCAGCGCATGCTTTGTCTACTTAACGCAACTATTTAGGTCATGGTAGAGGAAAGCACTCGAATGGTGAAATATCAGCAAAAAGGGTAAAAATAAAGCAATTCTTGCCCCGTTGTTTTGTAGCCTATATTTCTGATCGAATAGTTATGTAAAGTTTGCAAGAAATTGACAAAAAATATCATAGTCAAGTCTTTAAAGCAGCCAGTGTTCTTGCACATCACCTTACACATGACCTAAAGTTCACTATATTTAACTCTAGATGTACACAACTCTTAAACATACATTTTGTTGTAATGAGATCTAGATACTAGACTCATCTAAAACTTACAACAGAGATTAGATCAGAGAACTAGTTTATTTATCTGGAATCTAAGTTTGTCAGACATTTTGACAATGGTCAGTCATTTATAAATTATGATCAATTGCGTGCTGAGATGCAATTTCATTCTTTCTATGACACACTCTGATATTTCAGATTTATGCATCCTATTAGGCCTCACATTTCAACAACAATAATAGCTGCTAAATGTCCCACTCTGCTATAAAAATGTCCAGGCCATCAGGAACACACACTAAAAGATGGGGAGAAAAGGGGCCATACCCTTAAGCCTATGAAAATGCCATTGATGTTAACTATCTGACTGTGCCCTGACAGAAATTCAGCAGTTGGGCCCGAGTTGTTCGTTATCAGCGTCTAGTAGAGACGGGAGTCTGAATCTATCTGTTCTGCCTGGTGCGTGAGATGTTATGGCTCTTTGATGTGCTTTGCTCTTTAGGCTTTGATTTACGAAGCGCCATCTTTATCATTTTCCCTGGTTTCTTGAAACCATTGGAACCATCAGAGGATATTGCTTTGTGTGTGCTTTGTAAGTACTTCAGCAGGAGAAAATATAAAAGTACAGAGGTAAAACCAAGGCCAAGGCTGTGAAGACAGAAAGTCTCTTTGAAGTCTGTGCGTCTACTTTTTTGTGGTTGTGTGTACGTGAGTGTGTCTCGCTGCGTACATGTGCAGATGTCCTCTCTTTATTTGCATGTCAGGGAGTCTATTGTCTGTTTACCTCTGTCACTCAAGTCGAGCAATTCATCTGCATTCACACCGTGGTTAGGCTGGCTGTCAGAGATGTCTCTGTTGGGTGACACACCTGTGTTTACTGTTGGGAAAGCATATAAACAACAGCAGCCTGTATGTGTGTGTGTGTGTGTGTCTTTCCGCCCACTCAGGGATCATATAGCTCAACAGCTTTAGTAATGAGTGGCTTTAGAAGGTAGACGGCGACTGGCAGACTAACATGTCATTATACCCTGCACTGCTCTGTCATTGGGATGGCAACTATATTAAAGAGGCAGATGGATACAAAACAAAAGCACAAACTCACTGGCATTCCTTGTTTGTTTCATAATGCCGGTCTGCACTGTACTTATGTTCAGAGTGTTTATCCTGGAGGCTTACAGCTGACCTAACCTGTTTGTCTTATGTCATTGTGTGTTAAATCCAGGTCCATCAGATGGATCAGAAAATGGACTCAGTCCTGCGGATACTGATGGAGCAGTTTCCACCTAAGCCGGAGCTGACGTCCAAGCCCTCCATTCGCAGGGTGACCATCCAGAAGCGCATGGGTGTCAGCATTGACGAGGGGCCCTGATGTTGTAGCAATGGTTGGACTGATGTTATGACCAAAGGAGGATTAAAGGACCAGGACTTCACATAAACTGTTTAATATAAGAGGACTCAGTCTTCCAAAAACCCCTCCTCTCTGTCATCTGCAATCCCAATTTTTCTCATTGACTTATGACCACTGAGAAGAGAACAATTTTTAATTGTTCACATAGCACATACTCTGGGACATGAGGGCCACTGAGAGCCACCGCTTCCTCCTAATGACTGTAGGCCCTGTTGGGGTCTTCTTATGTTGTCTAAATGTAGCTTGCTCTTCTGCACTACCATTGTGGGACCTCAGTCTTCCCCTGCAGCACAAATTCAAATGATTCTTATTAATTTATGTGTGGCCTGTCACTGAGGTGCATTCCTCTACTCCAAATATTATTCCAAGGCTAACTAACCCAGTAATGAAGTCGTAATGCAATCAAAGCACTCAAGTTCCCCAAAGACACAGAGAAAAACTGAGAGTACAGCCATGGCAGAGGCATTCCTCAAATCCTTCTGATTATCTTGGCACCATCCAGACCTAGTACACAACAGGGTTATTTCCATAGCCACATATCCATCTTGCCTAACTGTACTTAGGCTGCTGCGGGTGTTTGTTAGTAGTGATCGAATAACACGAGAAGGGAAGGGTAGATTATCTGTTGAGTTTGCCCTGCTTTAGGGACCGGAAGGCTGGAGTAAAAGAAATGGAACTGAAGAAATATATCTGGGTTGGGTGGCTAACATGATACTGATTTACTGCTATGTTGAAGCTAATAAAAATAGCCAAACTGCCATGACAGAGCTGAGTGCTGTGTAACAGGAATACAGTCCGACCTCAGGCATAGTCTTTCAGTTTGCTCCAAGTTTTTATATGTATATCAATCTAAAACACTTATAGCAGCACCACTACTCACACCACCATCAGGACTCTGCTTAATATCCCCTATTACCCTCTTCAGGGGGCTCACACTGCTGTGTGCAATTTGAAATAAATTTGCCCCATTAAAGCTCTGATTATTATTTCTCTCCCGAGCTAATTAAGTGCTGAATTCCTGGTAAGGGGAGATTACTCACTGTGAGTGACTAATGAAAAGAAACACTGGAAATGTGCAGAATTTAAACAGTAAGCTTTGAGGAGCAGGCACACTAATTCTGTGTGAAAGGTTTGGAAATATCAGGCTGCCACTGTGAGCACACGTTTAACATAAAAAGACAATGCTCTCACTTTGTTCCCATACTCATAGTATTTACCTGACAGGACGCTGAGGCATGTAGGAAGTAGAAAATAGAAAACTCAGCTATGTAGGTACTTTCTGAAATGATTCATTTAACTATAACACATACATTCTTAAAAAGACAAATGCATACACAAAAGAGGGTAAAAAGAAGGGAAGGGGAAAGAGGAGAGGCTTTCTCTTTCATATTTTTGTGGTGGTTAAAAAATAGCTATTATTTATCTTACATTAAATAAAGTGGTTTTATTTTATAGGTACTCTACTTTGGTGACAGACCTTGATACATATCTGCCTGTCTGTTCTCCTGTACAGTTTTATAAGAGTTGTAAATAGAATCATTGCCTTATTGTACTGTATTTATTATCATGTGGAAAGATCAACCTGGAACATGTCTGCTTGTTGAAGTGATGAGAAACACAGAGGGTGAGGCTCCTGTTGTACAGATGGATGGAAATGATTGTAAATGATATTCACACACACCCTCTGCACTGTAGCTCTGCTGTAAATAATAAAACTCCATTTCATTATGCTCTGGCCTCTCTTGGCTTGGGAGGAATTTGATTACCAGCTCGTCTATTCCATAATTTGCTTTCATTGGAGGGTGAAACCTGCCTTATAGTTTTTCGGGGCCGTTTGTTCAAACCTTGAGCTGAGCTGGGTCAAGGTAAGCCATGGGCCGGAGTTTCCATCCAACAGAAAAGCTCCTCAACTCCTCATTTCACAAATTCCTGTCACATTGCAATCACCACGAAGGGGGAAAAGAACGAAAAATAACACGTTCACCGCACCTACTTTGAACTTCAATATTCCATAACCCATTGAATGAAGCATGCAGAGGAAAAAGAGAATACATCTCATATTACCACTCAATTACATTTGCCTTCGAAGGCCAAAAAATACTGGGGATGTCCCAAGATCAGCACGGTCCAGCGCCGAGAAAGAGAGAGAGAGAGAGAGAGGAGGAAGGAGGCAGGGTCGTCCCGTGGGAGGGGTGAACAGGCAGGGGAGAAAGAGAAAGGAGGAGAGACAGGAGGAGGACAGCAGGAGTATAAGTGAGCTGGGGAAGAGAGCAAAGATGAGAAGAGAGCAAAGCCATTTTCAATTAGCCAGAGAGACTACATGGGCTGGAGGGCTGGAGGGCTGCAGAGCTCCACTGCCTTTTGTCCTCCTCTGGTTTCTATCACTGCCGGGGGATTTTGGCAGGGAGAAAGAGAGAGAGAGCAAGAAAGGGAAAAAAGAGAGACCCCGTGGCTACCTCCGTCTGTAGAGGCCGCTCTGTGTCACCCCTGTGCTCCTCTTTCATCTCAAGACTAGACAGCGAGAAGAGAGGGACTCCCACTTCAAAAGACAGTTTGATCTCAGAAGTACACAGGAGCACAACCTAAAAGGGGATCTGAGGAAGCAGTTAAAAGGAGAATATAAGGGACACACTGTCACAGATGCTGGATAGGGAAATTTGGCAAGGGTCTGTACAGAGGAGGAACTCAGGCTAGTCATGAAATGCTAGACTCTCTGAGCTTTGTCGATCGTCCGTGTGAAAATCACTGCTAAAGCTGCTCCAGTAAATAACTTCACAGATCAAATGTCCATGTGTAATGTGAAAGGGGTCACTTATAGTGATGAATCCACAGATAATTATCATGTGTCCCCCTAACTCTTTGTGTGGGGTTTACAGGCCACAACTTGAGCGAGTGGTAGTTGTCAGGCTGTGCGGTCGTGTCTGCCCACCATTGGTGCACTTGGAGGCCACCTGTCTAGAGAGGCCCAGGCATATAGAGGCCCAGCGGTGCTATATGAAAGCAGATATGACTCAACAGGTGTGTGTGCATGTGTGTGTGTTTGTACTGTGTCAACCAAGATTGTGACAAACAATGTCAGCAGCAGCTGATGCTGGCCACTCTGTCAGGAGTTGTCCCTAAATAGCTGAGGGCAGCAGTTGCCAGGATGACAGTTGTTGCAGCTCCTTGCTCTCCCCCACACCTCTTCACCAAAGAATATTTGACATTCCCACTTTTGGTCTTGCAGTATAAAATAGACTGTTTCACTTTGTTCTGATGGCCTTAGTCTGGCTCAAAACCACCATAAAACACCCAATAAACACACACCTGTAAATCCATTAGTCAAGCATTAATGTGCTACCAAAAAACAGCTCATATAGGAACTGAAAGGGAGTTGGGAGCAATGTCAAAATCACTGTTAAGCCCTCTTATTACTTAAGTATTGAATTGCTTTCTATGGTTTCCTTGTGGGAAATGCAGTGGTAAAGTTCCTCATCTTAAATGGTCCCACAGTACCCTCCGTATCCTCTTATCCCTAACTCAGAAAACTGGTGTCTGTGCAGCTTTACACAACAGCAACAGATACAGTATGCCCTTTGAACCCTTTTCTGTTTGGTCCGAGCAGGGTGACATAACCCCATGTGATAATAAATCAACCAGAGGCCAGGAGGTTAGATTGACCCCTTGTGACCTTTGGCCTTACAAGATTTCCCTCAGCCATAAGCCTGTGGCTCACCATGCCCTGCCTCTCTCCGTGACCAGAGAAAAGCTCAGCAGCCAAGAACAACAGCACAAACCGGCACCATTAGGATCCAAAGCTCCGTCTGAGCTTCTCAGTTTCACATCCTGGGTCCAGCCAGCCATAGAAACTCCACCCTGGGCTGGCTCTGCTAAGTGTGACTGCTGCTAATGTGTTGTTACGGCTGCTGCAGATTTGAGCAGAGGGGGTAAAGGAAAACTGGTGGGGGGGCTGCCTATATGGGTCATATTATTAGGGACTTTTTCCCCAGACGGGGAGAGGATTCCTAGCTAGAAACTGGAAGGACTTCAGTGGTGTGCTGGTGTTTGGCCCGCCGAGGCAGAATGCTAGGCATGGGGGACAGCTGCACCACGGAGCTACTGTAAGACAGAGAGGTCGGAGGGGGGGTATACAGTACTATACAAGCTTTGACTGTCAGTCCAATGTTATGTAAAATTGTAAACGTATTTTTAATCAGAAAAGGGAAGTGAAAACAGGACATGAACAAAAAGAACTAAGCATTACTAGAAAAACTTGTTGTACAGTTCTGTGCAATATAGTTTCATTATTATACACTTCTTGCTTCTTGTTACACACAACACAAATTCTCTGAAGTGATGTATGAAGAATGAGGTTTCAAGGATGATGAGGAGATAAGGATGATGCAGATTTCTGTCCACCTATCAACCGCTATCAAAATCCCAATCAACTGCCACTGAGTCTATTATTATGGTGTGTAAACCAAATATGTATATCTCTTGATTTTGTCCCTGCCTCCTCTCCGTTTGATTTACACAGCAAGGCAGCTTAAATCCCCAAAACAGCAACACCATAATCTTCAGTGGGTGAAAATTAAAAAACAGAGTGAACAATTGAACATTGGGAATTCAATGGACCACATCCACTGCTGTCCAAAAGCAGAGGGAGGTTTTGCATGGTGAAAATTCTGCTTTTCTCATTGAGCCCTGTGTTGGAGAACATGTTCACTCATTCTTATGGCAGGAATCCTTTCAACACCAGAACTTAGGGCCCTGCAGCGCAGAGGCCCCACAAGCCTCCTGATGAGGGCAGCAGAAGCAGGATGAAAAAAAAAAAACACACCTTAAAAAAAAGTGTGGGTATATTCATATGAAATGTGGGCCGCTTTATTGCTTGTGAAAAATGGAAAGTTGATGCATTTCTGGCACCGGTCAAAAATGATGCTTAAGACAGTTTTCCATTTTGTGTCATTTTAACCGACAGTGTTCCCTTGTCATTGCTTTAGACATTATGGCAGGCCGGCTTGGTGGATGGGATGTAATTTGATGTATACTGTGGTCACTGCTGTAAGATGTATTTTAACTGACTGGAATTATTGCCACATACATTTCTGCAAATGTTACAAAAAGTTGCATCACATGGAAATATTTTGCATCATGTCAATATTGAACACATCCAAACACACGCCCATACTGTCGTCATCATCTGTGTGGAAAAGCTCTTCTGCTATTTTACACAGTTAAGTACATCATGCATAAAGTTATACTTCACACATAACTCCGTTAACTACAACCTTCGTTTGGTCTCTTCGTTCTTAAGTCTCCAGAGGACCTAAACACAACACTCCAACATACTCACACACAATTTGACTTTCATTGAAGCGCTGTCTCCACCACTGTGGACTACCATGTATCACTGAAGTTACACACACACACACACACACAAATTCCCCCCTGCTGCTGAAATAATTTATCCAGTGACTTCTTCCACCCTTACTATTCCTATGATTGTATATATCAGAGCCTGTCTGTGACAGGTCAAATTAGTCAGGGGGTATTAGATAGCTAGAAGTGATAACTTATTTGATTAATTAGGTAAGTTATTATGCAAACAAATATGATATTTCCTGCATTTCTCAGTTTTACATCATTGTACATTGTATACCTTTGAGTCTGGTCTGACAAAACAAGCAATAAGAAAATGTCAAGAAAAAAAATGTCGCCAAGAAAAAAAATTCTATCTGCTCTGCACAGATGTTTCAGCTGGAAGGCCTGCCTCTATTTCTCAGCCAAACGTATCTAAACGCATCCTTGGACATTCCTGACAGGATTACTGGGCCAGGTACCATCCACTGGTCAGGAGAGAGAGAGATAGAGAATGAGTCAGAGTGAGTGTGCAGCACAGCCTGCTTGTTTTCATGTCTCGCGCTGCGTGCTTGAGCAGATTTGCCTTGATAAAAGATAAAGGCTCTTTGATAGGCTGCAGGTGCTCTGCTTTAATGAGCATTACCCCTCCATTAACCCCCCCACCCACACACACACACACACTATTTCTTCCCTGCAAAAACATACCACAGACACACATCTGCACATCTGTCATTCGATGCTCTGCAGCATCTCCCTAACATCTCCTCCCCCTGCTCCCCGCCTGTCACTCATCCTCCCAGACTCATACACATCTCACAAGCTCCGCACATCACACACCGCAGCGTTTGAGGAACCAAAGCGACGTCAGAGCACACGCTATTCAATGAAATAGTTTTCTTGTATTGATACAGCTTTCCTGGCTTGCTGAATCCAATTGAGCTGTCCAATAAAACATCCAAACCCCACCTACACTGGGCATTCCAGGCAGGCTAAAACAAACGCTCAGAGAAATGGAAAAGAAATACAGTTATTCAGATGCAATTTGGCCTGCTCACATCCTGTTAGAGGCACATTGGAGAAAGAGAGAAACAGAGGGAGAAAGACAGAGAGAGGGGGTGTTAGGTGTTTGTTTGTGGGCACTTGCTTTCCCCTCATTCAGAACCTGAGGTGCCAAGGGAGTAGCTTCATGACGTGGGTTGTGGTCTGGGCAGGAAACATGGGGAGGAACTTGTGACTTTATATTAAGTGCCAGGGCGGTTAACAGGAAAAGATAACCTGTTTCTGTTGATATAGCAAGGAAGCGTGAATTTTTGGCACATGCGAGATGTTGCAGAGAGGAACAGGCCAACGATGCCTTCCACGTCTCTGATTGACTGGCTCACTGGAATTTCCTCGAGTTCACTGTGGTTTTGTTTGGGTGGCTGT